CCTTTTTTAGCATTAACCTGGTTCTGATAGTAGTGCTAGTATTGATAATTTGGAATTAAGCACGTTGACCAGTGCTGGCACTTCACACAGAGTGAATTCTATTCTCGTGCGAAATTGTCGTCAATAGGGCTGAACTGAGGCAAAGGTACGTCTACAATTTGTCGGACCAATTTCTGGTCCATTCCAATGTTAGTAGACAGATTTAGAAAAGACGACGACGCGGCCTGAATTTCAGTTCAAAATTGAGAGCTAAGTAGGAACTTGATTCGTGGAATAAATTAAAGCTCTTTAAAATTACCTTACAAACGTCTAGAAGTTCCAGATAAACTAGCCGCGGTGTCTGCTGTTTTTGGTGAATATTATAAAAGTTGAGCTATCTTTATTCTAGCTAGTAGCCTATTTTATGATATAATAGTCTATTTACAAAAGCTCTATACAGGTATTTATACTGATAAATGTAATCGTCCCAGGCTTACTCAGGCATATATAATTAACCATGACATCTGCTACGAGACAGATTTTATGTAACTCCTCCAACGTCTCAACAAGCATTGACGTTTCTCCAATGACGTGGAAATCTTAGTTTAACGTTCCATTCAGACTGATTATAGTCCGTATTCCCAAGCCGATTATCGTTCAGTTTCGTTGGACACCTTCGGAGACTACGCCAAAAACTCAGAATATATAAATTTTTACTCACCTTTCACATTTCTGCTTGTTGGCACTGCTAGAAACCTGCAGCTTTTTAAAAATTTGCATTTGAATTTCAACAATTAGCACTCCTCGAAATTCGAAATCCGCCATTTTGTTTCCAAGGAACTTCATGTAAAATATGTTGAAGTAACTAGTCTCAGGCTCTTTCCAGGGGGGAGAAATACACGCGCAAGGGCAATTGAGCCCGATTTATTCACAATAAACTCGAAAACATCGGACAAAAATTGACGTTGACGGTTGGTATTTCGCACGAACTGATTTAAACATATTAATGCAACTAAAATACAACTTGAGGTGTCTCCCTTCAATTTAAAAATAGGAGGAAATCATAAATTAGATCAAACTTTTTGAAGGAATATTACTTGACAGAAGTAAAAAGTTGTGCAACTTTTATAAAGCAACAGTCAAAGAATTTGAAATTGGTCACAAGAGTGTCGTCATCCCTGTTGCTATGGCAACAATGACGATTCAAGATATTAAAAAAAAGATATTAAAATAAAAATATTATGTTTTAAAATATTCTGAAGAGCCAAAAAAATTATTTCGAAAAACCATGTTTATAATTTTTTTAAATTTAGCTCAACAGATTTGTTTTTAAAATTGGTCAAATATTTTGTCGTACTACAAGAAAATGTTTCCTGAAATAAAAAATGGGGGTAACCATGCGTATTTTTTAGTGAAATGTCATAGCAAATAACATCTCTTCAAAGAGTTGATCTAATTTGTGCATTTTTAACATTTCTATAAAATGTAGGGAGCCACTTTAAATATCATCATCCATATCCAAACCGAGCTCTTCCTCTCCTTCCATCTCTTTGTCTGACTGTTCGTCATCAATCGCTGCATTCATACACCCAGAACAAGTACATGCATCTGTACATTGGATCATGGCTTTCTTGCACGAACAACGGTGAGTTTCGCAACCAGTCTTGCAACCACAATGGATGAATTAAAGTATCGAGTCCGGTGCCGGAGGACGGGTCAACCACACGATCTTCAACTCTCCGTCGACTATCCGCCATCCATGACAACCAGGAGGGATATCCATTTCTGCGTCAAGACACTGGCGCCAAATAGCTAGCTGCTTGATAGTTTGCCCGACGTATGTGTTGCAGCAAGCTTTCACATGTTGGCGGTAGCATGTCATCAGAATACTTTCCCAATTTGAACAATGCAAACCTACATTTGTTGACATTCTCGCATGTTTTGTCGCCATACATCAAGCAAACAAACCTTATTCAGCTGTGCAACGAGATCATTCGAAGGAGAAAAAGAACTCCCAAGTGATACGAATGCATCCACGTATCCACGATTGCGCTCGAGCGTGTCCGACGTCGTTTTCTTACCTTTCCGATAAAAGGAACTGGTGCTGTCACAACCTAAAAAATATATTATGCAATGTTATTATAAGAAACTGATATATAAGAAACTACAGCCGTATATGCGCGATCCTACAAGTCAGTGGCGGAAATTTTGGTGGGGCGGGTGGGCGTCCGCCCCCCTCCCCCACCTTCACGGAAAATTGACCAATTTTCGGATATTTTGACTTAAAAGAGGGCTAAAAATAGTCTTTTCGAGTGCAAATGGGGGGTACGTTGGAAATTTGAAAGTTTTGTCGGAAATTTAGGAGGCTTTCCCCCCTCCCCCCACCGGATAAAGTGAATTTCCGCCACTGCCACAAGTAACTGAACAGGCTAATAAAAACGTCAGTTCCTTGTATACCTACTCTACCTGAAAAAGCGTGAAATCCAGGCAAACACTGAGGTTTTCGTCCATCGCCTCCACGATAGTCTTGATGGATATCAACCGAAAATGATTTCCCGTTCCCGTCATAACAATACTGATTGAGGTTTTAATTGCCCGCTAATGAAGCGTGAGATTGTCCCCATGGGCACTAAATATTAGAATTTTTCACAACTGATCTTTATGGGCATTTACATCGATTGCAGCTGCTCATATTTTAACTAGTACTTATTAACACCAATTAACAATTGGTGGAAATATAAAAGAACAGGAGAGAAAAAAATCTTTGTTCCTAATACGTTTACTACGCTTCCAACGCACAATGATTACTAATACCACCAATGCGCGCCCAACCTCTTATTACATACTTGCCCGGCCCCCTTTTGGTTACATGATGTGCCGACGTAACGAGGCTTGGTTCCCTAGCTGTTAACCTTTGTTATTGCATAACCTCATGAAACCTGTATAGTGGCTAAAAACTTGTATAATGTTAATTATATACCTGTATAGTGGGCTTATATTCAGGGGGGCTTATATTCGGGGAGGGGGGTTTATATTGGGAATGGTGTGAACCTTAGTTATGTGATGATGGGCTTATAGACAGGGGGCTTATATTCGGGGCTTATATTTGGAATTATGTGAACGTTAGTAATGTGGATGGGCTTTATATTCGCATATTTGGTAGGGGGGGGCTTATATTCGGGGGACTTATAATCGGAGGTTTGCGGTATTTAAATTACCGGCCATATGAAGGTTGAAAGTTATAAATTAGCAGAAATTGACATGTTGAATTAGCAGAATTGACAATACACGGACGAAATAAAAGCAAAAAAGGATTGACTTACCAAATCGGTGTAATTCTTCTTGCAAACTATACAGACAAGAGGTAACACGTGCTCGTTCCTTGATCTAGTAGCACTAGTGGACGCCGCTAAACTTGATCGGAAAACTTTATTCGGGATAGGATCACTACTGCCTTGGTCAACCGACGCCGATGGGATTTGATCTCTTTTTCAGCTTTTTTGTGTCTTGCTTCAGCACGATTTAATAGGGTTTTATTGGTAAATGCTGCATGAATAGCATTTGCGATGAAACGCCAACTCTTTAAAATTTTCATAGCGATCTTCTTCCTCGATGCTTATAATTTGAGTTGTACGTAATGCTATGTCTTTCTGACAGCCGTCAATTTGTATCCATTGCTTCCGGCATTCCAGAAATCTTTCGAATGAAACCTCTGTAAAATTTGTAAGTGGCCCGACACTGTCTTCGCAATGAATAAACATGTATTTCCCAATTCTGCCATGTTCAGTCGGCCATGACGAAAACCTCTTTGTTAAGAGGAGATTTTTTGTATGTTACGTAACACGCGCTCAAAATTAATGCGTACAATATATATATATACCACTTGAGGTTATGACTAAATTCTAAATCTTTATTTTTGAATACGTTTCTCAATCAGCAAACAAACTTAAGAAGTGTGTTTAGTGCTTTATCTGTAACATAATGCTAAAATGAAGGGATTTTAGATGATACGCCGAAGATAAAATTATGTCTGAAGTTCAGTAAGTTTTGCAGTTATATGGCTGTAAATATGGCGTCAATTTTAAAGCATGATTGATAATTGTATTTTAATTGACAATTTCTAACTATTATTTTATGTTTCTCAACCGGCACATGCATTTCAAAAAGTTGCTAACTCTATAAACTAGAGAATAAAGCTAAAACAAAGTAATTTTGAGAGAAACGCCAAAAAGATTTTAGGTTTTGAACACTTTTCATTGCAAATACGTGACATTGAAAAAAATTGCCTCTTAATATTATTACATAAAGTTTCGAATTTCGAGGAGCGCCAATTGTTGAAATTCAAACGCAAATTTATGAAAAACTGCAGGTTTATAGAAGTGCCAACAAGCAGAATTTTGAAAGGTGCGTAAGAATCTATATATTCTGTGATTTTGACGTAGTCTCCGAATGTGTCCAACGAAAATTGTTTTCTAAGCGACTTTTTGGCCTTGGGAATACGGACTATAACTTTGAGGCCTTAAATGAGGGTACCCCTGGGAACACAAATTATTCAAACATTTTGTTTTGCATGAAAAGTTTCTTTGTTTCGTTTTTCAGTTAATTCGCGTCACGTTTTCTAAATCAGTCTAGTATACGTCATATGACGACAACAACAACTGCAAGCAATATTTGTCATTTTCAAAACAACGTTTAATCCAGCGGCGTAGCCAGCTTGGATAATTGGGGGGGGGTCCATATTTATATATTCGTGTTCACAGACCTTGAAATAATCGATTTCCAAAGAAATTAATATTGCGGAACAAGAATATACGAATATGGACCCCCCAAATTATCGAGCTGGCTACGCCGTTGGTTTAATCTAAAATGCAAGTGCATACAGAAGAATATTTATAACAAGTTTCTTAAAGTAAGGATTGCAAAATTGCATTCAGAAAAATTACTTAAAGAATGTTTTGTTTTTCTCAAAATAAAAAAGTGATTTTTCTCATTATAAAAAATTTTCTTCAGAAAAAATATTTTTATTCTCCCAAGAAATTTGGATTTATTTGAGAAAAATTTCTTAAAATAATTTTTTTTTTCTTAAAGTAAGAAAGCGAATTTTTGCTTTGAAGCTCGAGAGATGATTCGCAAACTTTCTTTAGATTAGTACGTATAAATTCCATTTGGTCATAACTGTTGCTTGTAAATACGCACTCCTGTCCAAAAAGCTTTAACCTGATATCAAGTGCATGTTGACATGACTCCAGAGCAGAATCATAATCTTGCATTTCGCACTGGCATTTTGCAATGCTGAAGTAGCTATCAGCGACGACTGGGTGTTCCTTTTCATAGAGCGCCACGCTAATATCCAGGGATAGCTGGTGCCAATGCACAGCTGAATCGTACTCTTTCAAATAATACTCTGTTGTTCCAATCATTTCATGGCAATTGCGGAAAACGTCTCGCACTGGGTGAATTTTCCCGTGAAGATTTTGTCTGATGACAAGTGCTTTCTTGAACGACTTCAGTGCTGACTCGTAATCATTTTTGAAATATTGGATATATCCAATCTGGTAGTAGTTGTCGGCGATATCTAAGTTGTGGCCATAAAGCTTCAGTCTGATGTCTAATGCTTCATAATGATATCTCAGGGAATCCTCATAATTCATCTGTCTCGATAGACATTCTCCATTATGATAGCACCTTAAGGCTGTATCCGAGTTTAGCCGACCGTTTTCTTCTACAAAATTATCAAGAGCGTGCTGCAGCGCTGCTGGACTCTCTTGTTTTATTTTGACCACTAGCACGGCGTTTTCAACGAGTAAGAGTAGTGGGCGGTATAGACGGTCGTTCTGTGCCTCGGCTTCGACTTCTTTCCGTAACTTGGAGATGGACAAACCAAGTCTATATATCACCTCACCCATGTCATATTTGCACGCCAAGACCTCGATGAGAAGACCAAGTTCCAAGATAAGTGGTTCACTTTTACCTTTCAAGATTTCAATCTCTTTCTCGTCAGCGCAATCATCTTGTTGTATAGCTTTAAAGAAAGCACACAAGGATGGTCGGTCAGCGCATTTAGTTAAAACAATGTTCCGGTAATACGAAGACTTTTCTGCGCAAGAAACAATCAAAGCAAGAATCTGGGAGCATAAAACCTTAAGTACAGTATTTTCAAAACTCAACAGAGATATCCCTGTTCCAAGAATTTCAACACCTTTCGCTACCGCTTTATACATTAGCAAGTGAATACCAAGGTAACACATTCGTTTTCCCATGACAACTTTCGAAATAAGGACAGGATTTTGTTTCTCTATTTCTTCGGCCTTTTTTAATAATGTCAAAGTATGTCCATCAGGCCCATGTATTTCAGCAAAAGCTTTAGCAATTAGCAGTTGATGGAAAGCTTTCAATTTATGCTGCTCTTTTGCCTTGGCTATTGCTGAATCATAAAGTTTGTAAAACATCCATTCATGCTCAAAGTAGCAAATGGTGTCCAAAAACAGATCGGCATTGAAAAGAACATCGAAAATTGCGTCACAGACTTCCTCGTTTTGAACACCTTCGGAGAGACTATGTACCATATTTGCTTTGTTAAATTCGAAATCGTGGAATGCAAGGAGAGAATTTCCTGCGAGAAACTGGTTGTTCAAATCTTCAAACAACTTGACGTAATAACTCAGGAAACGCCTTTCTGCTTCGTAAGCAATTTCTTTCATATCAGAAACTGCTTTTTCGGAACTAAATGACCTGATCAGAGGGTGCAAAGAAAACAGCCTTGTTTCGCAGGAATTTCCTTCGACCAAATATTTTCTCTTGAGCACCAACAAAGTTTTTTTTGCTGAGTCTTCATCGCCTCCAATGATGTTTACTGCTGCTTGCTCGTCGAACAATTCACTGACAAAAACTGAAAGACAAACAAATGCTTCTTTCTCTTCTCGAGAGAGTCTTTTGAAGTAAGACTCGAACAAGATATTTAAACGTTGATCATTTGGCGCGCATGGATCGTCTAACAAGTCTGCTAGCTTTTTTGAAGAACGGCTAAAGTTTTAAAGGAATTCAGATATACCCTTCTTTTCGTCAACGATTTGACCGCACAAAAGTTTGATGGCCAGCGGAACGTCTCCACAGACCTCAGCCACTCTGCAGCATTCACTTTCATCAGCAGTAGGGACAAGTTCTTGAACAAGCATTTGGGACGATTTCCTGTCTAGCGATACAACACCGACAGACGTATGACCAACAAATTTTCTTCCCAGCACCGATTGAAGACTCGTCCTTGTGGTCAGTAGAAAGGATACATTCTTGCAATGAGAAAAGATCTTTTCCAGTAGGTCTAAAACGTCTTGGCTCGTTTCACCACTAGTCTGAAAAAGATCATCGGCGTTATCGAGGATGATACAAATATTGGAAGGAATTGCACTGAGGAGTCTGCATAGTTTTGAACGTTCTCGCCCCGTTACATCAGACGCATTTGCAAAGGTGTTTAAGAGATCAGAGGTCAGCTCTTCCGCTGTCTTGACGCTTCTCAAGGAAAGGAAATAAACTGGTAGTCCGAGCTTTCTAAGTTGGTGTCCTACTGCAATAGCCAATGAGGTTTTGCCAAAACCAGGGGGTCCAGATACAGAAACTACCTGAGCAGATGTGGACGTCAACACACGCAAGATATCTTCAACTTTTTGTTGTCGACCAATGAAACGGGGCACCATTGGAGGAAGGCAGGGCTTAGGCACGGACTTGTCAAATACTGTGGTCAAATATAGAAAATACGGTTAAATTGTAGCCGTTACCTGCTAAACTAAGGGCAGTGATGCTCTAGCTTAGTAGTTACAAAATACGTACTCGTACCAATTGTGGGAGGGCATAGGTCGCTTATGAGCTACATCACCCACTATGCCTTATATAGACACGAACTTGTGGTTCGAGCTCAACAACTGGACTCTTTAGCTCAGAAACGCTTCACCGGAATCGCAGATTCGATTCCTGCCAGAGGGCATATAGTTGCATTTTTCGCAGGTTCTCCTGGTTAGGTCTGAAATTGTAGATAATTTTTCCCTCAAATTTTCCGTCTACAAAGCACTATTCAACTGTTAGTTCTATCTACCGGCAAATGATATTTAACGCTACATTACGTACTCATAGAATTGGGTAAAAAATCACAACGTCATGTGGCACACGTGCTGTTTTGGATTGGAAAATTAAAAGTTCAGGTATAACATTATATTCCGCCATAATCTACACTATGATCGTTTGCCGAAAGACATTTTGCCGAACGGATATTTTGCCGAACGGAGATTTTGCCGAACGGACAGTTTGGCGAAAGGACAGTTTGTCGAAAGGACAACTTGCCGAAAATAAAGATGCTATTTTGAAAATGTTTGGGACTGTGCCTCATTTCTCAACTTTGCAATTCTCAATTATTATGTAAAATAATCATTATATGGTCATAAGCAGTGCATAATGGTCGTTAGCAGCACATATCCATATTGACTATTAGTAGATTGTTTGTGCAGCGGATGAATCATTTGTTAGGAACGTGTTTTGACGTCAGGTTGTAAACAAATATGCGCCGGTACAAAGACAACGACGTAAGCGAATTTCACTTCGAGAATCATGGAATACATTCACAGTTTTCGGGCAAATCGCATTCCATCAATGATGTTGAATGATGTTATTCTTTATATCACGAAATTTAGGTAAACTTGTCAAAAACTTAGAGTATATAGAAGGAAACTACACTTCACTATCAAAGTTTCTGTCATCAAAATCGACAATGACTTTAATCACCGAACTTTCGACCGTGTAAGCGAACCTATAAAGTTCAGAAGATATCTCTATTTTCGGCAAACTGTCCGTTCGGCAAACTGTCTTTTCGGTAAAATGTCCGTTCGGCAAAATGTCCGTTCGGCAAAACGTCCGTTCGGCAAAACGTCCGTTCGGCAAAACGTCCGTTCGGCAAAACGTCCGTTCGGCAAGACGTCCGTTCGGCAAAACGTCCGTCGGCAAAATGTCCGTTCGGCAAAATGTCTTTCGGCAGCTGCCCGGCCACCTATATACAGGTAATAATCTCACGTCTGCGATTACTTATGACGGTCGCACATGTGACGATTATTGCTAAATCAGCATTAAGATCGAGACGCACCGGGCGCGATTCAACAACGGGGTCGATTTTTAGTTTTTGTAAGTTATTGTGAAAGGAAATTTTAAAAGATATGTAGACCAAATAACCCAAAATGTTATAGCGCTTCCAAATATTTGAAAAACTTCAACCAGGATCAATGTTATCGGTCAGTGAAAATCGAAAAAACGCGCCGCTTTGTTGAATCGCGTCCGGTTTGTCTCGGTCTTTATAGTTTAAATTAAATTAATGCTATTTTTGAATAGTTGAGAGGATGGTTTCGAGTGAAATTGGGATAAAACACGAACGAGTGAGTTTTTTTATGAGCATCAAAATAGCACGAGTCTGAAGGATGAGTGACATTTAAGGTCTGAAAATTATATTGTAGCGCGCTAAAAAACACCCGATTTGACAGTAAGATAAAATATTTTCCGTTTTAGAAAAGATAAAAGCAATATTTTTCACCCGACACAACTTTTACTTTACATAGCGCGGCCGCCATGTTTGTTTTGTTTTGAAGCAATCTCTGACCGTTACTTCAGGACTGCTTTTTACGCTGATTGGTTGAACCAATCAGAACAGTTTGTTACCGGCTTTTGCACTTTTGTTACAGAATTTTGCACTGCTGTTTGAGATTAATTGCACTGAAGTCAATCAATCACAGTCGAGTAACATTTTTATGTACATTATTAGCAAGGTAAAAGGATAATTATTTTATATACTAAACAGAACCATAGATGGACGCTCGGAAATATAAAACTTATTTCTCGTTTTGACAAAGATCACTCTGGTCAACACTCGAAATCAATTTCATAATTTACCCGCAGTCCTGGTTAATTTGGTCACAAGATCCCTGGTTGATTTAACCAGGTTATATGGTTGAATCCACCAGAATTCTTGGTTAATAATCGACTTAACATAATCTGGTTCATTCAACCATTTAGCCTGGTTAAATTAACCAGGGATCCTGGTTAAATCAGCCACAATAGCCGGCCAAATTAACCAGAACTGTGGTTAAATTAACCAGGAAATTTAAAAAGGAACATTAGTTACCCTAAACCCTACGCTGTTAATTTTAGACCAACAAGCAAATTTTTAATCAGGGTGTTTTTGCGCGTACTATTCTCTATATTTTCGTTAACTGTGTACATACCCTGAACTTCGTCTGGAATATAAAATCTCTTCAGCACGTGTTGAACGTAAGAAGCTGAAACTGCCGCTCCAAATTGGCACCATGTCAAATTTTGAAATTCATCATTTGCCCACTTTGCAATAGATTTACAGGACAGCCACGGTACTCCAGAGTTCTGACAAGTTGCATACACACCTTAAAACGATAAAATTGAGGTTATCCTGGGGAAATATCGGAGGCATTCATGTCATACACACGAGAGCGTAAGCCATTAGGGTGACATTAAAGCCTACGAAACAGACCGAATCTATTCTTCTTGAGGGAAAATTCCGCAAATCAAATTACAAAATATTAAACTCAGTCTCAGTGAAGTCTCTCGAAAGTGATGTCGGGCCTGCTGCGTACAAACACATACAATACTAGAAAATACATGCATGCAGAAACCCCTCGCCTTGCTGACAAAACCATTGTATTTTCCGAACATGAAGTATCTAAAGTTGTTGTCATGGTAACACGGTAATTTTGTTAAGAATATTTTACAAATAAAAAATCTCCTAAAAATATCACTTTTAATTACAAAATTATCAATTCCCTAAACATATATCGTTAGTCTTGTTTCTAAAATATTCATATATCATTAGGTCTGTTATTATACGTAATATAAGCTTCAATTCAATTTAAGATAAAATTCAACCTCAAACGCTTCGCAAGACATTTTAAAATGTTCTTTATAAAACTAAACTGCCTTTATCGAAAAACTTTAAGTTTGAATGATAATGATTTCAAATTTTTGCATTCAAACAACTTTGCTTCCCTTATTTAAAAATTTTAATATAATAAAAAAGGATAATCAATCAGTGAAGAAACACTGAAATTATATGCTGTCTTTTTCATTTAAAATGCGCGCTCGAAAAGCCATCATCACCTTTCATTGTAGATCGAATAGGCATGCTTGAGTAGCGACATATGAATATTCCTCATTAATTATTTTACTTCTGTCTTATGTTTTATTACGCATGCCTATTCGATCTACAATGAAAGGCGACAGCTTTTCGAGCGCGCACGCTAGGGGGAAATGTTCATTCGTGACTGAAATTGTTCAACATGTTGAATATTCGTTGCCGACAGTCGCCAACAGTCACGAGTGACGCTCAGCTCAGCTGATATCTCCAGTGTGCGCCGGGCTTAACGGATCGAAAGCTTTGCAGCAATAAATTTACGTGTTGTTTCCACAAATAAACTATTATAAACCTACCTTCGTTAACGTCGGTGCCTTTACTCCCTTCTTTTAGCAATTCTTTCGCCTTTATTTTCTTAAAAAGCTTTTAAAATTCACAAATTCTTGCAAAAATGAAATTCAGTGCGAACTATTCATGACAGTCCGCCATATTTTTGAGATCAGTGAGGCTGACCACCCACCCAACATCCAAACACCGCTGGTCACCCACGCCCACGATCATTGATGAACTTCAGACTTCGCTAATGCTTTCGTTTTCCCGGGTGTAAGTAACTGGGCGGAATTAGTACCCTCGCCCCGGGCTTACGCCCGGAACGGCGCTTGGCACCGTTGGCTCGGGGATTATGAATGTTTAACTTCAGGTGTCATGCAATAAAAATTTCGGTAATGTAAAAGACGTTCGCGACAAACTCATGCAGGTATACTCACAAACTGTTTCTGCCAGATTCACTTTATGACAAGCCTTAATTGGCTTCTCCACGTGTCTCCGTTTTGGCGTTTTGGTCATGTGTAATCGCTAATCGGCAGTTGTCCCACATGGGTTAGCAATAAAATTTAGCTGTACTTAGAGTTTTACTATTTTTACAAATGTTTAGAACAAGCGGCCTTGTGAAAAACAATTATTTTAATTCCTTTCTTTTCAAAATCTTTGTAAAACGATTCTGGTTAAGCTACCGTGTATACTGTAAATGTGATTAAGTGAAACAAGACGCCGGCTCAGGCGTACACTCGTGCTCCATCCAAGGGTTAGCATTACTTGAGGGACAGAAGTTGCTGTGGGAAGCGTGGAGCTAATCGTTACTAGTAAAGCCCTGGGCAAACTAGGAAACATTGTTGCGGAAACATTGTTTCCTGCCAATGTTTCGTCATGTTTCCCAGAGTAGCCAAATACTAGAAAACATTTTTTTTTATTAAGCTTTTGCCAACTAGGGCAGGGTTACCACAACAGCATTTGCCAATCACTGTGGGCCCTTTTACCTAACCCACCCTGTCAACTTTCCCTGTGGGAGGAAACCGGAGTACATCAAATGTTTCTGAATTTGCTAGGAAACATTTTTGCTGCTTGGGAAGCAAATTTTGTTTCCGCAACAATGTTTCCATGGGTGGGCAATCAGGGAAACATTTGAGGAAACACCGAGAATCACAAATTTTTAGGCTATGTGGTTACCCAGGGCTGATACTATATGCAATGTGGCGGTCAGATGGATGTACAGTTGGTACAGTATTCAGTCGACATTTCTTGAGACATCGATATTTTGTTAGGTCCATTGAAAGATGTAACTTTTCATGTACCGAAGCTAATGAAAATAAGAAACTGATTAATATTCATGAAAACTTAGCACTACATAGTAGTAAGCGTATTGTAACAACGACCCCCAAATTTTCAACACGACGAAACCTAGACTCGAGCTCCTCTGGAGTACGAGTAATAAATAAGTATATAAATAATCAGTTGAGAATAAGTTCTCAAAATGATGCTTGTGATGTTACTCTGAGTGTATACACTCAGAGTAACATCACAAGCATCATATTCACCTGAGTACATATATTACACCAACACAGAAAAAATCAAGTTCTCAAAATGTTATGAAATTGGTTGCGTCGTAGTCTTTTCATTAGAGCTTGTCTATTTAATTATTCTTACTTCACAACCATTAGCAAAAAGGTTTTGTTTATTTTTCCTGTTTTGCGAGAAAATAACTCCGATCGCTCCCATTGTAATACGTACGTTTTGCCGCTGTGTCTACTCCAATGGTTCCCGCTTTGTGCGAATCCCTCTTTTTATCGTCACCATCTTGTAAACCTGTCGTAAACTGACCAACATGGACTTTTGGAACTATCACATTTTCACAAGGACCAAACCACGCAAATTTCCCACGGTCGAACAAATGCGCCAGTCCCAAATTGCCGTCATACGTTGTGCGATCAAAATTTGACAAGTCGTCATCCGGTTGCTCAAGAAAGTAGACTTGTGATGACACCACGACATCACAAGGAAATGTGCTTCTTTCCTTACACCATCGCAAACTCCCAGACTAACAATAGTTTTCGGTTTAAGTTCTTGGATTGTTTCATAAACCAGAACATCATGGCCTGACGAAGTGCCGGTCTTGCCGAAGTATGGAACTTTCAAGAGCGTCACTTTATTTCTACCGATTTCTCCATAGCACAATTTTTTTCACTTTCATCTTTCTTGCTGGGTATTTCGACATTCTCTAATATTTTTTGCGTTTCGTTAAACTCCGTGTCGTCCATTGTCAGCAAAAGAACATCGTTAAAATCTTTGAATTCAGATTTCGACGTCGTAGTACATTGATCTAAACAAAGAAACATGCGGACAAATAAAGAAAAAAAATGAAAAATAAGATATAGGAAGACGGACAGACTGACTGATGGACGCACGCACGCACGCACGCACGCACGCACGCACGCACGCACGCACGCACGCACGCACGCAAGCACGCACGCACGCACGCACGCACGCACGCACGCACGCACGCACGCATGGAAGACAGATCTATTTTTATTTGCCTGAAGAATCAGGGACAAAAGCATAAGTAAAGTGAAACCACTGACTGATATTAGGCGGTACTCCGAGTGATAATCCATAATCCATACGGGAGAATCAAAGAAAGCGAGTCTCGAGCATTCTTTAGACATATGTGCCCGACAATTCCCTATTAAATCATATTATCACTTCTACATTCAACAACAGTTTTTCATTAATTAAGGTAAAATTATCCACACGAAATCCCCCATACATGTCTCCTTTGGTAAAATACTTATGTAAAATGCGCGATAAAAGTGTGAGGAAAGGAGTTCACGAAGATCTACAAAGAAAGATAAATAAGCTCATCCGAGAAAACATGGTTAGTGAAGTTAAGAAGGAAAATGGGAAATATGCATCTGGATCGAAGAAATGGTGGGACACAGTTAATAAAATAGCCGGTAGGAAGACAAATCACACCAGTATAAATATTGATCCAAGTGTTATGTATTGTTATTTCCAGACAATAAACACTGATGATAATTATACATCCCCCGAACTCGTTCCTATACCCAATGAGACTAGAGTACCAAATGTTGATGTGTCCACTGTAGAAAGGTTTTTGGAAAAACAAAAGAAAACATCAACAGGACCTGATGGCCTACCCTATTGGCTGTGGAAAGATTTTGCAAAATATTTAGCTCCAGTGATAACAAAGATATTCGACATGTCATTGGAACACCAATGTGTCCCACTCCTATGGAAATCAGCCAATCTTAATTCCAATACCTAAGGAAACCCCCCTCTTACGAACGTAATAATGAGATTGCTCGAAAAAATCGTGCTTAAAAAAGAGATCTCATCAGACCTAAAGTATTAATAAAATGTGATCAATTCGCATATAAAGAAGGTACCAGCGCAACTAATGCTCTCATTATGTGTTACCATTAATGGCTAAATTGGCTAGATGGCAATGCTGACCATGTCAGGGTAATTTCATTCGATCTTAAGAAAGCATTTGATTCCGTTTCTCACAACGTTATTTGTAAGAAGCTTGAAAAAAACAACATTAATCCATATGTAATAAATTGGATTACAAATTTTTTGACTGATAGGAGACAAAGAGTATTAGTTAACCGAATAGAAACAAATTACGTGGACATAAACAAAGGAGTACCGCAAGGCACAGTCCTTGGACCATTTTTATTTTCCTTAATGATAAATGATCTAACAGTCAAAGATTCAGATGTTAACAACATACTAGTTAAATTTGCAGATGACATGACCGTTAGTGCTCCACTGAAAAATAGTTATGACTCCGCACCAGTTCAGGTAGACAATATTGAAAAATGGACGGAAACAAACAGAATGTCATTAAATCTAGATAAAACATGGGAAATGGTTGTAAGTGGCAAATCAACAAATCCTCTACCAGAACCAATAGCGGGTATCGAACGCAAGACATGGCTGAAACTATTGGGAACTACACTGCAGAATGATCCGTCTTGTTGGGACCTTCAAGTTGATAATTTGTTAACCAGAGCTAGTAGTCGAAAGCACATTTTGAGAATATGTAGATCGTATGTCTACTCTAAAAAACAATTAACATTTCTCTTCAACGCACTTATTATGTCTTTATTTGCTTATGGAATCGAAGTATGGGGTTCTGCACTTGAAAAGAAGTACCTCGAACAGATTGATAAATTTCTTAGGCGAGCACAATCTCGTCCCCAGAGCCATCGTTGAGTGGCTCTGGCCACACGGGAATGAAAAACGATCCTGATTAGTCCATCCATAAGTTATTGGACACATACCCCCTGTGGCGTCCACGAGCGCGGCCAATATGAGTGAATACGATATATTTTGCTTTATATGGCCTGAAAATTTGCTTATTTTGACGAATTATTTCTTGCTTTTCCTCCTAAAAAGTGGTGAAGGGATGAAGGAGTTGATTTATGCATACTTGAATTCATTTGGGCAAAATAACAGGCTTCGTTGTGGTAATAATTCATACCCTTGGTTCACTCTGAGTGAGTTTTGATGGGAATGATGGCATATGTCCTTGATCTACTATATTGGAGAGTTATTATTGTAAACAAATTCAAGCGTACAAGACTTACAAGCGTACACGTATGCTACGACTGTGTTTGTACAAGATTTGGGATTTTTTAATTGAACTGTAGATGTATGAATCATCTTGGTATGAATGCAACAATTAAACAGCATTTGGATTCTTTTGCAACTTGTCAACTCGTTTGAATGTTCGATAGAATTGTTTGATGATATAATATATTGTTTCTGTTTACAGTATTGCCTGTACAACTCTCTCAGAAACATTGGTGTTAGTAGCCAAAAAAGGTTTCATTAAAGGCCATGTAAAGTATGTAATGTAAACAAACCGTCAAACCCTTTGTTTACATTCTGAACCCAGTGCTGGCCAGCAGATCGCATGCGCAGAACAGATTTTACATGGTCCTTAACAATAGCAGTATGCACTACGTACAGTATGTAATAATATGAAACCGTCTACACAATTTATACAATGGTTCCACTAAAATTGGTAAATAAATGATTGTCAACTATTCCACAGTCTTGGTGTGCTCAGTGGTTATATAGTAATACTACCTGAAAAAAAAACAAGCAGAAACTCAACATTGGCTACTAAGTTACTAACTCTTGACGAACAGCCTTCGCTAGAAATGTCAAATTTCTGCTTGTTTTTTTCAGGTAGTACTATATGCAAATATCAGATGTTCATTCTTGTAATGGCCAACTGAGTGTGCACATGCAAGTAACAATTGTATTTGAAGTCAAATGCTCAACAAAAACAACTTTACTTTTTCAGAATAAGACTGCTAAAACCAAATTTTAGGTTTATTAGTAAACTATCATATTAACTTCATACATCTTTAACAATTTCAGGACCGCCGAAAGTAGGGATGCAGGCAAAAGCCCAGCTCAAAAGGGGCCTCCAAAGCACAAAAAGTTGTGTCAGTGCCAGATAATATGCAGTAAAGTGTAGTATATTGTAAAACACCTCTTCTCCCATTTAATAATTATGATGTCATAGGGACCCCTGGAAAAACTTAATGATGTCATATGATTTCCCTGGAAAAGTTTTACTCTGGGCCCTGCACAACCTCTCAGTGGTGCCATAAAATGAATTGCAAGTTCTAAAAAACCTTTATTGATTTCAATAATGTGTCATTCTGCACATCAAGTCATCAACCTAACAAGCAATACAAGCATGAAAGTATAAATGATATTAAACTTATTCAAGCAGGACATTGTTATTAGTCAGACCAGGTGTGATTCTTGATTCTTTAACCTAACTACTTTTTATCACATAACTAATGAGCGATGCCATTTTTTCCAACAATACTATTCCTTTCTTGAGTATTTCATTATTTTAAACTCTTCATTATAATGCCACATGCCAAGCTTTTTGCTGTTCCAGAATACAGAACTGTATAATTTTGACTTGAAACTGATTTCCATTGTTTCCGGATGTACTGGCATTAATTGGCATAATAAAAAGATTATCATATGTACAGCCCCAGGTGTATCTGAAAGAAATGTAATACTAAAGTTATAAAATAGTCAACCATTTAAGAGTGACTGCCTGTAACCATCACGCAAAATTTGAAATCCGCGGCAAACCTTGAAAAATCGATTTCCCTTATACTTTCAAGTTAGCGAGGGTAATGTATCCCAAGAATTGCCTTATAGTTGGTTTGATCAAATAACGCTTTATAACGGAGAAAATTTAAATTATCAAACACTACCAAAAAACGCCGATTACGACAGTTAATTATTACTCAACTTTCGCGGCAGATGGTCGAAAAATAAGAAACGCTAGAGGTACAAACACCCCAAATAATTTGAAAATATTCCATTGTGCACAACATGTGTGACTTTAAGATCAATTGTTCAGTTATAACGCAACAATATAATTTTATTCGCTAAACATATATTTCGAGTCGCTCAAAGTATGTCGCACAAAAATATGAATTTTAAAACTGCTTAACCTGTCAGTCGCTTGAAACGTCCATGCTCGATTACTTATATGTTTATCTTTCTAATGGTATAAAAAAATCTTTGGGCAAACGATTTTCATTCACGTGGTAGCTCCTCAAACTTTGGTCAAATTTACTCATTTCTGCATTCAACAAAATACAAGACGCTGGTGTTTATGTGTGGATTATGAACTCATAAACGAACCTAAAACACATTAAAAACCTTAAATGATGCATTTTGTTAAGGATTCTTACCTGTTAAACTGCTAACCCCAGATTTTCATGAATGTTTTTCAATATACATCGATGTGGTTTATTTGTTTACCGATTCGACCATGCCTGTCAAGCTGCCGTGTCTGCATGCACAGGAGGCCAAATTTTGTAAATATATTTGACATCCGTTATTCCGTACGATGTTTAATTATTTATTCGGTTTATTTACGTGATATCTTGTTCGTTGTATGGCATATCACACATTTTAATACAATTGTTGTAAATTTCAGGTCACTTTAATATTTCAAAGCGCGCTTCCCATGTTTTGTTTTGATTGTAAATACTACATATTACTTACTACATTTCTAAATTTAGAATACTGGGCGGGGTATTGATTAAAAGTTGCGAAATTTATAATAATCTGCCATATTTTCATCTTTTTAATGCCCAACTTTACAGCATAATCAAATAAAGTTCAGTACTTTAGTGCGATATGGAGGTTTGTTGTTCGTTTAAGACGATAATTGGGGGAATATGTGGTTCAGATAGCCGAGATAAAAAAGAAGAAGTGACAGTCATTCCACTAGTTTCCTGTTCAAGAGATATAGCAAAACATTTGGGATCATTGGCATTTTTTGGACCGGAAAGTGAGGTAGATTTGATCTTGTCTCGAGCTGCGATATTTAAGATACCACAGGATATAAACGACATGACAATATGCCCATTCCATCGCGGGAAACTTGGTTTAGGATGGACAAGAGGAGCTAGTATAAGATGCAGAGTTCCACCTGTTTTGTCACAGCACGGTAACAAAACTAAGAAAAGTTGGCCCAAGGGTGAAAGAGGGTTGGGAAAATATGACTCCCTACATGTGTTACGAAAGACTGGCATGTTTATTCAGTGTGGCTCAGGTAAGAATGTTTTGTCAGATTTTGATGCATAATTAAATAGATATTAGATATGTACACAGTTTAATCGTCACAAAATTTACAGTAAAAGTTCTGAATTACAAAGTAAAGTGATTACATAAAAACTAAATAATTTAAAATTACAACCCAATTTAATAAAATGTAATGAGCAGCACTTTATTCCACAGGAGTATGCAGAAAATGTAGAGATCTTTTGAAGAATCTTCGCAGAGTAGATGTCGATGAACTAGAAAGTCAGTTGAAGCAAACAACATTGGTATGTCAAATAGGATATGGTGAGAGGCAGCCATGTTATCGGCAGATTAATAATTAAAAATCCACATACTGTAACGAACCTCTGTCTCTTATATTAGACACCCGTTTACACGATGTCCGCAAAGTTTGAAAACGAAACGAAATTCTTACTTTTAGTTCACACGATACCGGTATGAAAAAACATGAAACCGTAACGATAACCATAAGAGTTTGAAACCGCAGCAAAATTCTGCCGTCTCGGCACCGTGTGAACGCCTAACCCTAAGAGCTGTATTACGGTAAACAAGGTAAACAAGCAATGAAGCTATGAAGGTAAACTTCAAATAAGAAAAAAACTCGAAACAGTTATCGCACCAAACCGGAACGAAACTCTACGGGATAATTTTCTGCCGGCAGAGTTTCGTACCGGCATGGTGTGAACGAGCCGGATACAGATGTGCACCAACAGACAGACGGACGACGGACGAATGGGTGTATAGACGACCGATGAGTCGATCGAAGAATAAGAGAAATAACGGTATCTCACAATTTTTAGGATGATGATGATGATAATGAAGTAATGTTCAAGACGTGCACCCATGCACAAAACTATCCCAGTTCCTCAAACACCTCTTGATGTAATGGATTCAACGGTTTTTTCTCCCTCAGCAGTTTCTGAACTCTCACAGATGGAAGACCCTAACATAACGCCTCAAGAAAGGCTGAATGTGTTTCTTGCTTCTAGAGATGTAAGCCCCATAAGGACAGCGATGAACACTTCATGGCATGCAGCGGCAGATCGTACAAAAAGACACTATTTACGTAAAGCTAGGCAAGTTATTCACGCAACACTTGAAGAAATCGTACCAGAAAATGCTGAAGAGCTATTAAGAGCCGTGCAAGAAGGAAGTATGGGCGGAGAAAGTGACTTGGATTCAACACTTTTGGAAGTCTTGGTCGAATGTTACGATAATGCAAACTGTTGGAGCAGCCGCAGACAGATACTGTCAATCATGGCTGACAAAGTCAGCTTTACAACGCTTCAAAAGTGGATCCCTGGTATATCACGTTATCGGTTTTCAATTGCACGCCACCATCGATTGCTTCATGGAAGAGGATCTGAAGTTCCTCAACGTGACCAACGGCAAACACGAATGAGGGCCTCACCTGAACAGCTGGATCATTTCTTAGCGTTCATAACGAGTTCAAGAGCTATCCAAGATTTACCATTTGGTGAAAAAACTCTAAAACTATCTTCTGGTACTGAAATCAAGATCCCAAATGTAATAAGAACCTCAATCCCAGAACAGATCGTAAAGCAGTATGAGCGCTATTGCGCAGAAATAGGATATAGCTCCCCTTTAAGTCGAAGCAGCAATCTAAGGATACTGAAAGTGTGCTCCGCATCGATGCGCAAATCGCTTCAAGGGCTCGACTATTTCTCTGCTGATGGGGCGAAGGCCTTTGATGATTTACAAGAAGTTGTCGAGAAGCTTGGAGATCGCTACCAACGAGGAATGTCATGGTCGAAAGAAATTTCAAAAAAGCTGAAGCTGGCAAAGCGCTACTTGAAAGGGGATTATAAGGTTAGTGGCTAACTTCCTAATCAATCAAATCAAATCTTCTGTGATCAAAGTGTGTGTTAATCAAAATATTTGGTTGTGTAAGCCCCCATTAAAGAAAGTGATTGCTTTGAAATTTTTTGATCAATGACTTTTTAAAAATTTAATCACAGAAAGCTTGGAAGTGTAAACCGAGCATAGTTAGCAATCCAGCATGCAAATTCGTCCGCCATCATAATAAGCGCCATATTTTTCTTTCAGGTACACATATCGTCTAGTTCAAGGATTCCTGATCATTGTCGGCCCTATGCCTTAAGCCATGCCAGTGATCCAGATTATTTGCAGTTCTGTAAGCATAAACATGATCTAATCTGCGACAGATGCAATCTGTTTCTTGCTGCTGTGCACGAAATGGAGTCAGTTTTGGACGAAGATGATATACCCCTAGAAGAAAAAGAGGAAATGAAGTTCATAGTAACCCAGGCAAAGAAGAATATCGAAGCTTGGAAAGCCCATTTACTACGATCCGTCAACCAAGATCAGGCTCGGTTAGATATTCTTGACAAACTGGATGACACTTCAGTACTCGTCATCTTGGATTGGGCAATGAAATTTATTCCCAGAAGATACCGAGAAAGCCAGGCCAACTGGTTCGGCAAAAGAGGTATTTCTTGGCACATCAGTGTAGCCATGAGAAAGGTAGATGGCAAACTACAAAACCTCACTCTTGTTCACGTGTTCGACAAAAGCAACCAGGACAGCTTGTATGTGATAGCAGTAATAGATGACGTCATTTTCCTGTTAAAGCGCGCAATGCCAGAACTGAAATCTGTCAACTTTAGACAAGATAATGCCGCCTGCTATCATAGCTCAGCCACCGTAATTGGAGTGCAAAACCTCGCAAGAAAGCACAAAGTGGCCATTCGTATAGATTTTTCTGATCCTCAAGGTGGCAAAGGTCCCTGCGACCGCAAAGCTGCTGTGTAGAAGAATCACATGCGTACATATCTTAACTCTGGAAATGACATTACGAACGCAGTACAGGTGAAGACCGCTATGGCATCGAATGGTGGTGTACGTGGTGTGTTGTTCTCAGTGGTTCTCTACAGATTCCAGAGAAATATCTACCGGAGAAATGGGAAGGCGTAAGCCTCATCAACGATGTTGTTTACAAGAAGCGCAACATGGAGGTTTGGAGAGCATATGATGTCGGAAATGGAAAAACGATACAGTATACTAAGTTTGAATCAACGAAGTCATCCTCATCAGTTACGTTACCCACTCTTAACAAGATGGAGGATTCTGACCAGATTCCAGATTTCTGCGATGTCCTGGCACGAAAGAGCAGGAAAGAAAAAGAAACAAAGACCGATGCTGAATCGCACGAGGATGACAGTGATACCGATGACGACACCCTGTTCACCTGTTCCGAAGAAGGATGCGCGTAAAAGCTTTTCAAAGATTTTCGTCGCTACAAAAACACCTAGACTTTGGAAAACACCAATATGCTCTAGAGAAAGAAACTTTTCTTGATCGGGCTATGCAGATATATGCTGAGAATTTGGAGAGTGGGAAGGCGAACATTGAGGAAGTCCAGGAATCTGCTTCACAACCTAGCTCAGATATACCCCCATTACTGATGGGTTGGGCTTTGAAGTATAGTTCATCTAGCCGACGATTTACGGAAGCTCAGAAGAAATACCTAACAGACCTGTTCGTTCTTGGAGAGCAAACAGGAAGAAAAGCGGATCCGGAACAGGTATCCAAAGCTATGAGAAAAACACGGGATGGTAATGGGTCTTTTCTGTTTGACGCTGGAAGCTATCTCACATCAAAACAAATTACTAGCTTTTTTTCCCGTTTGTCTGCCAAGAAATCTCTTCCAGCCACCTGCTCAAGCACTGCTGATAACGATAAAGAAGAATCGATTGACGATATGCTAGCATCACAGGAAGAAATAGAGTTTGAACGTGTGCGACAAGAGCTTCTCAGCGAATTTGTCATTGCTCATCCCATTGTCTTCGATACCTATAACATCTGCCAAATGGTTGCTGTCTCCGGTCTTTCGAAGTTATCTATATCTGTGTTACAATACATTTGTAAGTACTTTGAACTTGACTGTTCAGATATAACAAAGAAACGAAAGCAGCCTTACGCTGATATCCTTACAGAGTTTGTCAAGAATTCATGCACATGTACCAATTGAATCCTGATTCTTCGCAAAGTTCCGCACGTCTCTACGTGAGCAAATCATCGCGGATGGCTTTCCACTCCCTATACAGTGGTGTTAATTTTTGTTTACCTTAAGGATGATCGCCGTAGCAAGAAAAAATACTGTATTTGTATACTATATTTAAGAAACAAGTTTTATCATTCATAATAATATTACTGCGATTTAATTATTAACTTTATTATTTTCCAAAAATGTCTATGTTGAGCCAGATCAGTCTCGGGAAAGATGTATATTTTGTATATATATATATAGAGAGAGATAGATCATATATGCCGATGTTGATATGTTGATATGTTAATAGAAGCTGTTATCTCAAGTTATCTTTACTAATTGATATGATACTCAAATAGTGTAGGTGGAAATGCAATTCGGTCAGGTTGCCTGGCCTGTGCGTATGTGCTTTACTTTATTATAAATACTATCCCCGCCCAGTATTCTAAATTTAGAAATGTAATAACCGAAGTAACTAATATTCAAAACAAAACATGCATGGGAACCGCGCTTTGAAATAAGTGACCTGAATCGACAATAATTGTATTAAAATGTGTGATATGCCATATTACGAACAAGATATACACCGAATAAATATCGTTCTGAATAACGGTTGCCAAATATATTTACAAAATTTGGCCTCCTGTGCAGACACGGCCGCTTGACAGTCGGTAAACAAAGCCACATCGATGTTATGTTGAAAAACAATCATGAAAATCTAGGTTTATCAGTCGTTTAAGCAGGTAAGAATCCTTAACAAAATGCATCATTTAATAATAAGGTTTTTAATGTGTTTCAGGTTCGTTTATGAATTCATATTCCTCACATAAACACTAGAGCATAAACACTAGCATCTTGTATTTTGTAGAACGCCACAAATTAAATTAAATGTCAGAAATGAGTAAATTTGACCAAAGTTTGAGGAGCTACCACGTGAATGAAAATCGTTTGCCCAGAGATTTTTTTATACCATTAGAAAGATAAACATATAAGTAATCGAGCATGGACGTTTCAAGCGACTGACAGGTTAAGCAGTTTTAAAATTCATATTTTTGTACGACATACTTTGAACGACTCGAAATATATGTCTAGCGAATAAAATTTTATTGTTGTGTTATAACTGAACAATTGATCTTAAAGTCACACATGTTGTGCACAATGGAATATTTTCAAAGTATTTGGGGTGTTTGAACCTCTAGCGTTTCTTATTTTTCGTCCATCTGCCGCGAAAGTTGAGTAATCTTAGGAACAAAGCAACATAATATATTGATATATTGCGTCGTTTTTAAAGTACGAAGCAACAACATATTATATTGACATATTGCGTGCTTTCTTAGGAAGAAAGCAACATAATATATTGATATATTGCGTCGTTCCTTAAGAACGAAGCAACAACATAATTATATTGATATATTGCGTGCTTCCTTAGGAAGAAAGCCACATAATATATTGATATATTGCGTCGTTCCATAAGAACGAAGCAACAACATATTATATTCATATATTGCGTGCATTCTTTGGAACAAAGCAACACAATATATTGATATATTGCGTCGTTCCTTAAGAACGAAGCAACAACATATTATATTGATATATTGCGTGCTTTCTTAGGAACCTTAATATATTGATATATTGCGTCGTTCCTTAAGAACGAAGCAACAACATTTTATATTGATATATTGCGTGCTTTCTTAGGAAGAAAGCAACATAATATATTGATATATTGCGTCGTTCCTTAAGAACGAAGCAACAACATATTATATTGATATATTGCGTGCTTTCTTTGGACCGAAGCAACATAATATATTGATATATTGCGTCGTTCCTTAAGAACGAAGCAACAACATATTATATTGATATATTGCGTGCTTTCTTGGGAACAAAGCAACATAATATATTGATATATTGCTTATAGGAACAAAGCAACATAATATATTGATATATTGGGTCGTTAGCAACATAATATATTGATAATACAAGGAAGATTGAGAAGTATCTATATATTCAATTGATGGACATTCCTTGGTCGTCAAATGTCCAGTGGACATTTCATATGTCCTTTCCCGGTGGTTACAAAGTCCTGTTTAGTCCATTGGATCCAATTGACACTCGAATATCCAATGGACATTCGATATGTCCATTGGACATAAACATGTCCAATGGACACTTGAGTTGTCCAATGGATCCAATGGACAGTCATATGTCCAATGGACATTTCATATGTCCATTGGACATTTGCGTTAGTATTGGACATGTATGCAACTATAAGGCAATTCTTGGGATACATTACCCTCGCTAACTTGAAAGTATAAGGGAAATCGATTTTCAAGGTTTGCCGCGGATTGCTCGATGGTAACTGACAGTCACTCTTAATAACTCAGGTATACTGCTACATGCTTTTGCTCAATTGCTACAGCAGTATCCTTCTTTATTGAGAAAAATATCTTTATTTTATCATTGTATAAAGAATAATATTTGGTTTTAAATTCCCTAGGTATGATAGATTCATAATAATGCATGTATTATAGTAGGTAATAAATATTGGGTATGATCAGCTCACAGGATGCTATAGAATTTCTGAAATCTGCTGCATTTTTAGGGGGTACTTATCTTTTGTGGTATTCTAACCAGACTACAATTAGGATGGAAATTCAGAGCCCAAGGTTAAAAAATTTCTGAACCTTGAAACAAAATAATGATGACATAAACAATATAAATTGTAATAGTTTTGTTTGTGGAAACACCACGAAAATTTATTACTGCAAAGCTTTCGATCTGTAAGCCCGGATCTTCATCAGTGCTAATAATATGACATATTATTAGCACTGATGAAGATCCGGGCTTACGGATCGAAAGCTTTGCAGTAATAAATTTACGTGGTGTTTCCGCAAACAAAACTATTATATTTTATCACCATGCAAACATACATAGAACAATATAAATTGTAACAAATTATAGGCAACCAAGGCAGTGTGCAACAATTAAGAAACGTTCTTGCTCTAGAATAGCCTATTTAATAAAGCTGAGAGTTATTAAATTACTTTTATATAACAGATAATTAAACATACTTATAACTTAAGAAGAAATCGGAACATTTTGAAGTAACTAGAAGCCACTTGAGACAAAATAAATGATCGATGACCCGATGAGTGTTGACATGTGTACAAGCCGGTGTTTCGATCATCTCAAATTACTTGTAAAACGGAAATCACACCTGCATTCAGTATCCTTGTTGTTCACACTAACTGCGCCGAACATATTTTAATGCTTTTGACGGGAAAAATTGCGATGTTATTGATATTTTCAGCAAAGAGTTAGCTCTCAACTCCTCTTGAAAATACTATGGGGCGCGCGAATTCCAGGAGAATGGGTATGAAATAGTTCATTGGATAATACTACATGTACTTTTACCGTATTTTCTAATTAACTCAACTCGTGTGGCCAGTGCCACTCAACGATGGCTCTGGGTACGAGATTGAGGCGAGCATACAGATATGGATACACAACAAAAAGCTTTCAGGTAATTGATGTGATTAAAGAAAGGGAGATGAGTCTATTCGAAAAAATATGTAGTAACCAACCCTTTATACGAACTACTTCCTCCTAAGAGACAAAGACCGTTAAGAGAACGCGAACACGATTTCATTTTACCAAAGGTTAAAACAGAAAGGTTTAAACGGTCGTTTTTAAATAGGTGTCTTTTTAATAATTTTAGCTAAATTTGAATAATTAACTTAGATACGTATTAATAACTTAGACATAAGTTTTATTGAAACCTTGTATATATAGAGTTTTAAATGTAAAGTCACACGTCTGTTGGGGCTATATTTAAATAAAGACTTAATAATAATGTTTTGAATGTTAAAACACGCTATACAACCCTTTGTCGAGCTTTTGATTTCCCTTGCCCCCTTTGGTGGTTTGCCCTGAATAACTAATCTTTGATTTCCTGCAAACCTATTTGATGATGCTCTGCCTGCACCTGCACACGGATTGAAAACCGCCATCAATGACGAGACGCCGACAACATAGACCCTCTCGGGGAATTCGGCGAAATATTATCCCGAGGAATGAAGAAAACTGCACTGGACCGAGGCATACAGTATCAACTTACGAGACTGAAAAACAAGGGCTGGGGGAATTCGGCGATAAATTGATTGATAATATGGTATAAATGCAGCTTTCCAATTAGAAAGTCAATGTTAAAGGTATAATATTACATAAACAACATACCTGTGGTTTCTTTTGTCTGTATTAATACCCCTTTAATGCTACTCAGTTCATGTTTCACTTCACGCATTTCATCTTTAACGTCACTTTCAAGAAACAGATAGAAGTCATTTCTCAGACAATTGATTTCTTCATTGAGTTTTTCAACTTCCTTTGTGGGAAAATCCGATTCTTTCATGTTTCCAATCCTCTCCAGAGATGTCGTGCTAAAATTCAAAGCAGTGAACGCGTCTTTGGCGTGTTTGACATAGTCATCGAACTTGACTTTAGTAATTTGAGGGTTGGATGGATGACATAGAGTGTTTCGTAAAAGACGAAGCTGATCAATGGCAAGTGCAATCGTCTCATTTGCATCTCCACTCGAGCTCCTCACGGCAGAGTGAAATGGAGCAGGGGCTGGCTTTCGTCCTTTTAAATATATTTCACCAAGAGTCTTTTTCTTTCCTGTGCTGTCTGGTAGCGCAAATGTTCTTGCATACAGAGTGGCTTGAAATAGTGCAGCGCAGTCCCACTCTTTAAATGAGTTGTTCGTGGGAATTTTTGTGCTTGGAGCCTCATTATTGTGGAGTATATTGCGCACAAGAGGCGAGTCATCCCAAACGGTGGAACTCGGTGCAACTCTGGTGTCCCACATGTCTACAAAGATGCTACGCAAAGCATCTGGGAATTCCTTTAGGACAAACGACGCAAACTTGAAGTAGTTCAGCTCTTCATCAGAATACGGTTGTATAGACATGTTGGCTGCGTTTCTG